TGCTTCTGCATCAGTTAAAAAGTTCGGGGACACTGCTCACAAGAAAAATCTCTAGCACCACTGTGCATAATCTCCAGTAGGTTAATGTTGAAGGTTACCTAAGTTGAGATAATAGAACAGTTGGATGTCATATTTTGAAATAAGCTATTTAAACCACTTAGTGACTGATTTATTCTGTTTTTTTCAGTAATCCAGGGTATACCAGATGCGTTACAATAGAAAGAAACATGACTCTTGGTCTGAACAACTTCCACGCTAGCTCTGAACGCGATGCAGCAGAAGTGTTAAGAGGTACAAAGGGGCTGAGGGTCGAAGATTAAAGCAGCATCCATGATACTGTGTGATAGTTCAGTGCTGGCTCATGCTGTAATGGTAGAATTGGTAGAGTGACCATGGAGTAATTTATTCCACTGCTCTTGTTCCTCAAACCATTGGGGCTCCCACTCATACGCAGGAGTTTGTTTAGCCGGGAGTGTATCTGAAGATGAGGACTCGTTTTCAAAGCATTGCCTAAGCACTAAGACCTCGTGAAAATTGCACCAATTTAACAAAATAATTTAGAAACTTATTTAGTTTATTTGGAACAATCCCTGTTGTTGACTCAAACTAAATAGATATGGCACTTCTTAAGCTGAAAAAAGTGTTTACCAGAAGAGGCTGCACTGATTGGACTAAACCGGTTTCTAAACTGACTGTTGTGATATTTTAAAGTCGATGAGCTCTTAGCCGAAGACAGAAGTGTTTTCCGCCCTTTACACATAGGGAGACTGAAGCCAGAGGGGTTAAACAACCTGCCAAAAACTAGGCAGCAAATTGGTGTCAGAACCGGAGGGAGGGTTATCAGCTTCCAGCCTGTGCTCAGTCCCCTTCGTCACCTTGTTTGCTAGGTAGATCTCCATTCAGCAGTGGAAAAGTGACGGAGCTAATATTCCGTAGAATGAAAAAGGTAGCTGGGCAGTCTTGGAACAGCATGCAACAAGTTAATACCCATTTATGAAAATAACTTGTTTAGGAATCTTTCGCTTCCATAAAAACGACTCTGCCACACATCTTTAGGGACCTGTTTTCAGAACTAGCTTAGAGCATCCCCATGGTTGACGGTGATGCGCTAATCTCACCACCCCCTCTGCCCAAGCAATGATCCAGCATGGCTCTGCAATGTGAAGTTAGCCTGCCAAAAAGATGGAAACTTCGCTCTTCCGCTATGCAGATGGAAAAGAGCTAGAAGGCACAAGTAATCTCAGTTGCTCAAATCCTTTAGTACACATGCTGCTCCTGATGAATTCCACGTAATTTGTGATTGAGAAGCACTTCAGAGAGGAAATTCCAGTAATTCACCTTTGCTGTTCTAGGGTGATGTCTTACTGTTGCAAGGTCATCAGAAGATCAGTAATGGGGGCAATTTGGGCAAATGAGCAGCTGAGAACCTGTTTGAGCAGCCTCCTAGACTCTGGACCCTAGTGCAATCAAAACTCATTGTAATCACAAGTCACTGTGCCAGTCTTATCATGGTAATCCCAAAGTAGAGAGCCTAAATTGTGTGGATATTAGCCACTCGAAAGATGGTGGTGACTTGACATACAGGCAGTAACTCCTTGTGAGGGGAAGATTAGGCACAACACTCATTGCTTTTCTGTGTATAAATGGCGACCAACTGCCAACTGAAAGCAATGCGTGCAGTTCACGTTCCCACCCCAACTGGACTGTGGATGGAGAACGTAACTGGCCCAAAGCATCAGCAGGTCAGGGACACAGCTGAGCTTGTGCACGTTTGATCTGCTGTACATTAAAATCCTTAATGTATTACCATTCCAGAACAGTGAGTAGCCGTGTGCCGCTATTTTGGCCCATTACTGTTGGCCTGCTGGACTCAACATCATCACAATTGTTACCACAAGGTATGTGATCTAAGGACCATCTTTAATACGTGTCAATCCCCTGATCTCCCATAGAGAAACCTGAACAACAGCCCGCGGGTGGCTCATGTTTCACAAGCTGACACACTGGCCCATTTGACCCGTATATTTGTAATCTCTCCCTGCGCATCTGTAGACCTAGCTGACAAACAGGTGTTTAGCATTGCTGTGGAATGTCGTTTCACGGATGCAACCAAAATGGATTTGGGGACATGGTACAAGCTTGTAATGTAGATGCACCAACCCTGATTTCAGTCATCGTGAACCTGTTTTTAATCTGGCACTTTTGCTGACTTCAGATGAACATGGTTGAACATGGTTGTCTATATTAAGGAGCAACTAAGCTGATTTTAAATAGATTTAAGTTCAAGAAACAAGATTTCTAATATAAAGAATCCCTAGCTTAAAAAAAATGATGAGTATCAATTTATAGGCTAGAAGCAGGTTGGAGTCGCTAATCTGTGCTAGGTAGGAATGCTGGAAATGTGTTGTCCTAACAAAATAGCTTCAAGCTTCCCAAACTCTGTTCTCTTCTTTTGAAGACACAGACAGCTGAGATCCACTGAGGAGAGAATTTGTGAACTAAAACCTCTTCCATCAAGGGACACTGGAATGGTATTTACCTCTGTATAGCTCAGAAATGTATGTCTGGACATTGGTGCATTAAGCCAGAAGCTTATTCTGCTACCAGTCTGCCCCTAGCGTTTCATATTCACCGTGGTAGCTCAGCTTGCCGCAAGAGGTCCCCACAAGCCTTATCTTGCTTCTCGTGCACCTTTGCCTAGAGCTCTGTATCCCCAGCCAGGCTTCCTTTCCCAGCCTGAGAGCTGATTCTGGGAAGGATGATGCAGAAACTGCAATGCAGGGATGTGTTTTGAAAAAGAAGACAGTCCTCCGGGTTTCGGATCTCAAGCTTTTAAGCTCTGCCAGAGTTTTGGGGCCAGCATCACTTTAGCTGGATGATGGCTTTAATGTGATTGATCTGCAGTACTGGCTCTTAATTTAAGATGCAGAATATTGACACATAAAATAAGCAGCTCGACAGGAGGGGAAAACTACTGAGGATCTTAATGCTGAAGCATCGGAGACCTAAAACTTTTAGAAGGAAGGAAAGCCGTGCTTGTGAACATTTGCTACTTACTATTTTGGCACCAAACATGGGGGTGCTGTGAGAGGAGGAGGAGAAGGCACTTGCAACCATTACTGCTGACCTATAGCACTTTTAATTTGATGATCTAAAAGTGCATTCAAGTTCTCATGCTTCACGGTGGCTCTGAGAAGGATGGTGTTATCCCCTCTTCCCAGTTGAGGAAACAGAGCCAAAATCAGGTTAATAAGTAACATGTTTTCTGCCCAGCCACGTAACAAATCAATTCCAAATAGAACCCAGAAGTCCTAATGAAAATGAGGACGTTATGTAGACAAAGTCCTCCAGATTTTAAACTCCTGGTTTTAATTCAAAAGCATTATTAATCAGTTAGAAAACAATAATGTTCTTTTATAAATCATTCTTTTTCTCCCTTCTGTGTCTGCAGCAGTGGTGAAGTAGGAAAGAACATCTCCAGATAGGCTTGGCTGGCATTGGGTAGTGACGCTTTATCAATATAGTAAATATCTTTTTGATCCAGGTTGAATCTGATATTAGCCACTAGCTATGCATGGTTCAGGATGATTCAAAATACAAAAAAAAAGGGTAGCAATGCATGTAGGCCTTCAAGGATGTTTGCAAACAGTGGGAAGTAAAATATCATTAACCTGTTAAACTGAAAGGGATGTTGTTAGGTAGATCAATCAATCACACACACGCACACGCACACGCACACACACACACACTCTCTCTCTCTCTCTCTCTCTCTCTCTCTCTCTCTCTACCTTACAATATATAACTATATATATTTTTTCTGTTTTTATTTCAAGTGAGTTGGTTTCCTGAAATTTACTATCAGCCAAAACATAATCAGGACACTTAAAGAAACCAATAACTGTTTTGCCTGGTTTGCAACCCATGCTTTGTAGTACAGGACAGTATGGAAAAGAGACTAGGAACAAAATGCACCTGACTGTTCTATTTTAATTGTCCAAGCTGAGTAAAATGAAAAAAAAAAAAAATCTAATTTAAATCATTCACTCCTTAAAAAATGTTCAGTTCTGATAACCACGGGGCGGGGGTCACTCAGGAAAGGGTTTTCCTGGGTTCAAAACCTATGCAGTCCCATTGGTTGGCATGGCCTTACTCAGGCTTTTACACCAGTGTGGTTAGAATTGCTACCAGTCTATACCCTCTTTTTACTACAAGCTTCCTTTTGCTTTGTGAACAGTAATGCTGAGCAAACTTCAAAAACCCTGGTACCCCAATTGTTGTTTCCTTCAATCAAAACATCCCATCTTTGGTTCCCAGTTACAAATTGGCCTCTCCTAATGACGCATCTTTTTATATTCTCTTTCAGCTCTGAACATGTGTAGTTACGGGCTTGGGTGTTTAAACTTGTGTCCTCACTACTTCCTGTACATTTACCACTGGCTGTGTTGGTTTTTTCTTGTGGTGCACTTCTGCTTACAGCGCGTTGCTCTGAATGCCTGAGCTGGCGTGTTATAAAATCTTACAATCATAGAAAATTCAGGTGGGAAGGGACCCCAGGAGGTCACATCTAGTCCAACCCCCTGCCCAAAGCTACATTATCCCAGCTAAGGCTTTGTCCATCCGGGTCTTAAAAACCTCCAAAGATGGAGAGTACATCTCTTTATGCCTCATGCCGTTAAGTCCTAAGAACGCAAACATTTAAAGTAAGCTTTTCCCCAGACAAAGCCACTCCCATGGCAGGGCAGCCAAAAGCTAGTGCTAATGTTTGGACCAAACAACATGACTTCGTTTGCATATGTGGTTTTGTGGTTTGCTGTGTCAAGATGGGTCGCTTCTAACTAGTGTGCGACTCGAATCTGTCATTACCCGTTGAGAATATATTTAAATCACACTTTCAAATAGCAACAAAAATCTAGAGAAATGTTATCTTGCAAAATCTATGTTACAAAATCCCCCTGCTAGCTCATGCACACGTTTTTTTTCACAGAGATCTTATCAAAGGGCTGTATTTCACAGCTGTGAATTGAGATTGTCTGAGAATACTGCAAGGTAACTTTGCAAATGCTAACTGATTAAGGGCACAGCACACAAATGAAGAAGTATTTTCTTATTTCTGTTCCTCTGTGTTGCTCTCTGTAGACTTAATGTATACATCCTGCTAATTAGCAATACAGTATCATGTTGCACTGCTAGTAATATCAGAAGGTTGTTTTAATGCCAGTCGGAGCCACAGAATCATTTGACATATGATTATGAATGGTCTAAGGCAATGGAAGAGAATGTATTTGTGCAGTACTAAACAGGGAGGTCAATAAACATAAGGTGTTCTGGTGTAATACATCAGCTGAGTAACTTTTTTTCATTAGCTGTACCAGAAAAGGGCAAGTATTTAGTATGATTTAATGGTGGAGTACATGGCGCTGCATCTCCTGCTATCAGCATTTGCAGAACTGTGCTACCCCTACAGATTTTTTTTAACTGAAACTATAGGAATAAAAAGTGCTGCAGGAAGCATTATTCTGATGATGCAGTTTGTCTGGAGTTATGTACAGTTCCAACCTTTTAAATTAATTGAGATGCTTGGGCTGATTGTACGTAGTTGTTGTCCTTGCCGGTTTTTTCTAGTTTAGATGCTCTTGTGCACTTTCGCCTAAGAAGGACATGCTGCCTTGGGCTGTGATCTTGATCTCAAGCAAAGGAAAAAACCAGGTTGGGCCAGTACTTGGGTGCATGACTGACAAAAATGGCATTCAGGAAGTGAAATTGTGGTAAGTAGCTGCCTGGTGCTCTTGGAGAATGTCTTCCAGGGCCTGACTGCTTCATAATGATTAACCATTCTGCCAGGTATCCAGGTTGTAGTCGTATTGGTCTAGAGGAAAAAGCCGTCAGGACTGGTGGTAGAGGTGATATCTTTTATTAGATCAGCTAGATTTTTGAAAAAAAAAAAAAAAAAAAAAAAATTCTTTAAAGAAATGTCTCTACCACAACTCCTGATTGCTTTAACCATTCTGTGGTACTTTTCACAGTTGTTCACTTGTTAACCGGTCCCCAAACTTCAGCTCAGTCTGATGAGAAATTTTTTTTGTTCTCCTTAAATACTGGTCATAACTTTAAGGTCATCGCTTTCACTTACTCCTTAAATTTAGCTTTGTGCTGTTTAGGCAGCTGCTGCATCTCTGTTAGAGGGGGTGGTTAAAGTGACCTCTGCGTCAAACATTCAAAATGTAAAATCAGTGCTAATGTGGACTAATTGCTTTAGTATTTAAAAAGATGCATCATATATTGTCTATTAGAAATGACTACTGTACCCACTCCTCCCGGTCTTCTAGGGTTTGACTATACACCGCTGGGGAAGGCCACAATTTAAAAGAAAAAAGCATGATGAATGATTGTTGGCTGCCTCGGCTTTTGGCAGCGTGCCACCCTGGTAAAGGAGTCTGATTTTCAGAGCTACACACTCTAAAAAATTGGGCCCCTGGAAGGTGTGTCAGGTTGTGCATCAAAGATCATAGCATCTCAAATCACAACATGAGCCTTTTTTTGGAAAATGTTGGTGTAGGATTTTCAAAGGAGCCTACATGATTTAGGTTGCCTCAAATCCTGTTGAGATGCAAAAGGAATGGTTCGGTGCTCGACCCCTGGCCTGGATGCGTAAACACGGAGCACGCTGTACACCATTATAGGCATATATACCAGATGCTCCTTGGTTACTGCTGCCAGTAGTTGTGTGCAAAATTTGACTGAGATGACATCAGGAAAGGAACAAGCCAGTATCTTGACTAAGTTATTTTGCCATGATCAGTTCCTCCTCTTTCCTGGAGTAGAAGCTGTAATCTTGCATTAGAAAATGCCACCTCTTTAACTTCCCCAACCATTTGCATTTTTAGAAAAAAAATCTCTGCAGAAAATCTTTGGGAAAAATAGGCAGACAAGGTTCTTCCGGCAAATCTGATATCTTTTTTATTAGACCAACTCAAATAATTGGAAAAATTCTTCTTTGCAAACTTTCGGGTCACTTTTGGAAAAACTAGGAGTATGCACCACCAGGAGAGAGCAACTCCTCTGTTGCTGCCCTTTTGAAAAAAGGAAGCACAAGATGTACCAGGAACCCAAGCAGACTGCACGTTGGCTGTCGGGAGCAACTGAAGTAGACATTCAGGCACGTTCTGTTTTTTTGTCATAGATTAAAACTCACGTTTCAAACCTCGCTGGCTGGCAGTGTTCTGCAGTGCAGCTGTGACCCACACTCTTCGTATTTAGTTTGAGCTCCAGGGG